AACGAAGGAGTACAATGATAACGGTAGGCCAGCAGAAACCCACTCCACCAGAGAGTCAACGTGGCTTTCTCCCAGTGCACTGCAACGGAGTCCCCGTGATGCCTCACCGGTTCCGTGGATTCTTACGCCCGTACCCAGTTGCGGCAAGGTCTCACTTTCATCTTCAGTATGTAAGCGACCCAGTTCCAATCGTCGCCTTCCTCGTACATTTACATTATGACGTTCTGCGCGCCATCGAATGCCGAACACACGAGCCAACTATTGCGTTTAGCTGAACAGCGCGTACAAAAGCATTGAGCAAACTTATTTGGCTGTGGCTCTTTCTAAAATCTCAATCGTCATTCAAATCCCTACTCTTGTTCTAAATGGTGGGAATTGCTTCCTAGGACAGAGGAACAAAGGCCCACATGGTGCGTCGGCCAATGACACTGTACCTGATAAGAGCTAAAGCAGCCTACCTGCACCCCCTATGACTTAGTTTGCCTGAGGTCCAATTGGCTGAAGGCGCCGGGCTATTCACGCACACCTACACAAGTGCACACGTGCGCACGGCTCAAAGTACGTGAGTACACGCCCATCTTTTACGCCCCACAGCGCAACTCTTTGGCCGCTTAGATTAATGTTGTTGCATAAGAGGACAACTTCGTTGAGAAATGGTTAAGTGTTTCGCCTGTCTGTACTCGCCCTACGGAATATTCGGGAATAATCGGATGAAATATGACTCATTCCAGAGGCTAGCTGTGGATAACAGGACAGCTTCTGCTTCAGTGGCAGCGGTCAACAAAATGGAGAAGTCTTGCATCACAGTCTTATCGTAAGTTTGGGTGACGATTAACGCGTGTCAAATTGACGGGCTTAGTTAAAACACCCATCGTACCACATATTGAGTTCCACTGGTCCACGTCAACGGATTATTTTCCTTTTAAATAATTGGACAATGATTCTGAACGTTTGGTGCACGCTACCGCTGGTATACTCCTTGCAACGCTGGCTGAAGAAAAACGACCAGCTGGTCAATATATATAGTCGATGGTGTCCTTTTGGATACAGATTCGTCCTTGTTGGACCGGTTACGTGAAGTATGAAATAGAAGATAGTAAACTCAAAGGGCAAGAAGAGAAAGAGGAAAGAGCTAAGCAAGTAGAATATCATGCTTTTAGAGTCGTTATAAAGGGACGGCAATTAAAAGCTGTCAGTCAGGAGAAAGGAATGTTTTGGTGTTGCAACCCAAGTGAAGCAAGAAGAGGCACAAAACCCTTAACTATTAAGTGCCTAACCACATGTTCTGTAAACAAATTCCAACGCACTATAACTCGGTGCTACCGACTGTTTCCGTCCCAAGCCAATCAGACCGTGGTTTATGCAGCTTCGGTGAGTGACCGTGGAGATAAGATAACTTGGCGGGACTAAATAGCCATGACAAGTCCGGGCCGATCTTGCCCGTCAAAGTACGATAAGTGAGAATCAGGTCCGCACTTCTCCTTTGGTAGAGTATGGAGTACATCCTTAAACTAAGCAAGCGTTCTAGATGCGTCTGTCCCCGTGAACCCAGCATTAACCTATACACACTACTAATACCCACTCTAAGTGCATTATGTCTAGGATAAGACATGGTGGACATGCCTGGATAATGATTCCAAGTTGGGTCGTACGAAAGCTGCAAATAGCTTAAAAAGAAACTGGCCATTAGGACACTAATATAGCAGTGGACCAACCACACTATGCGAAACCTCCGACAAGCAGCCTTCTTCCAATTGTTGCCAGTATGAATTGCTGGTGAGTGGATGACACATGAATCAACCTGCTGGGTAAAACAGGGACTTCAATACAGCAGACAACTTATTGAGTAAAACGACTCTTAGTTCCCATTCGGAGAACAAAGGGGTTTCCCTTTTCATGATCATCAACGGTAAGGTATACAATTCTCAATGCCCGGACAGAGCACACTGAATTGTCTTAAGATCACCTGTATATTCTCCATATTTCAGAGACAAATTTCGTCACAAAATGTTAGAGAGGACACTCCAAGCGCCCTCGGCAAGTCCTTCTCATAGGTCGCGTATAACAATTGCCCCAACAACGAGCCTTGTGGTATGCCGCTAAAGACAGCTTGCCTAAGCGCAAGGCAACACCCAACGCGTACAAGCTATTCCCTCCCCTACAGGAAAGCAGATACTTCTGTAAAAATGCGACCAGAAATACCGAAAGTTCTCAAATTTAGTGAGCGCCTAAGATGAAATACAGTGTCATTTACATAAGAATATATTTTTTGAATTAGATGCGGCAGTGTCAGCAGAACCCTGCTGGAATTGGCAACGAGCGGCCCTATGATATCTTCTATTTTTTCTAAACACTGGAAGACTATCATAGGTCCTTGCTGATGGAGATGCTTGGTAGGTTTGACAGTATGGAGACCGTTTCTTGAGAAAGTATTTGACTGTGGTTTCTATCCATGCAGGCTGTGCCCGTAAATCTCTTTTCCACATAAGTTGAATATAGGGAGTGGAAACTTAACGTATTCCATAAACCACTCTCAAGCCAATCGGACAGAATTGGCCATCGTGATCTCACAGTTCATAACTGAAGTTTAGCTCAAATTGCTGTAATGTCTGCCCACTAAGTGTTCGAAAGTGTCGCTGTTTTTTAATTACACACACTTTTCGTTGTGCAGTATCAAAGAAGAGAACTCGGACAACTCCACCACTGAGTATATGCGCGCTACGGACTTAAATCTAAGACAGTTAATATTGGCGTCTTGTATCTTTGTTCGCCATAGAACTAGACTTTTACAAGCACTGGTATGTTACGCGCATGGTGTCGCTATTCATTAAATATCTAAACTATGTGGTTTTACTTGTTGCACATCACACATACCTTTTATTCAATCCCAGCGTAATAGTGGCATGAGATAAATTAACAGATATTCCGTATTTCCCAAAGCGTAGCTTTGCGCATGCAGAGATATGCTGTGGCATCAACGAGCTATGTTTTTCACTGGATGGGCTAACTCCCCGTACAATGAGGAGTAGAACCTCGTTGCAAATTTAACGGAGTCACAATATTCCGGTTTCAAATTCTGATGGCTTTGTTAAATGCGGCTGAGCTACCGTTTTTCAGTTGCGCTATTTTACTGACATTCTTTAATGTGTTAGGCCGCCAAGCAGAATATACACTTTCATACACTGAACGATATTTCGTTATATAATCATACCTGCTTGATATCGTCAGATGAGGAAATGTTAATGGCTGTCAGAACGCAACATGTCCATAGTGACACGGGATTCTATCAGTGTGCGGTACTAACTCTTTGGTCAAAGAAGCTTGCTTATGTAGACGAGGTATTAACATATGTCTGGGCTGCGCCAATAAATATGCACCAGAATTAACAGTGGGCACTTGGAAAACTAATTGCAATACGTAAAACCATATTTCATTATTGTGAATGTAACGGAAAATTTGATGAAATATTGGCTCGCAAATAAAATTGCGAACCTGGTTCAAGCGATGGAGTTAATCGCAGTTTGCTTCAGATTCTACAGCTACTATCGTGATCATGTAGGAATTTGTTTCTGCGTCTTAAGCGGTATTCGTCAATGCTTTACATATTCGAGGAATTAGTAGTTCGCATACAAACTGCCTAAACGATAGTCCGGCCTGGCCTTTAGGCAAAGTTTCTAAAACATTACAATTTGGAGTGCCATTCCCACATGTTTGTTACATAAACAAGTACACGGACTCAGATTCTGGTCAAATGCAAAGAAAAAACCAACACAAGTATGCGCTTTACACTAAGGTCACTGGGATGCTAGTTCAGTTGTCCAACAACTAGCGAAATATGTTTCTGCGCACATCATCGTTTGCAAACTTGCATGCAGGGTAGCCAACCAACTCACCAGCCTCGACAACAACATTTATGCTTATGGCTTCATTGGTCGTCAGTTGGGATGGACATCCACGAAAATAATATGAAAACGTAGCATTTGGTTGTTGTGGCAAGGATTAATAATCCAGGAGGCGGATTGCGTTTTCAATGGCAATGCGTGCAAACATTCTGCTGGTATGTTGGTATATATATATATACATATTTTGCATAAATGAATAGGACGTATCTTATAAAGAACTCACAATTTATGCACATAGAACAGACCAATGCTCGTCACGTAGATAAGTGCATAGCACCCATAGTGTACATTAAACGCCAAGGATTTCAATATATAATTTCGTTGCTATTTTTGTTTTTGCGTGAAAACGATGAATCTTCTGTGCAAATCCAAACTTTTGAAGCAAGGTTTTAGAGATGGGCCGTGAATGAGTGGCTGTGCCCATGATGAAGCAGATGCAGTTGCCAAACTCAAACGAGGTGAATGTCTAAAAGGCGAACTACTGCAATATTCATATTTATTTACATATATATATATATAGCCTTGTACGTTCGCTGAGGCTCAATACCACTAGAGTTATGCAGCTAAGTACAGTCCTATAAAGCTACGTGATATAATCTATGACTTGTTACATTTGAGTTACACGATTGTCCGTTATACCAAGTGCAGAATTCTACCTACTTGACCCTTTGTATGCGAGTCATAACAGAATTCGTAATGCGGCTTTTCAGTCTACCTGTGCGTACAGAAGCAGATAAATCGTAACTGATCGCCCAAAATGGGTAGTCAACTGATTGCCAACGTATTAGTAAGAAATTGGTCGAGTTTAGATTTTTTTAAAAACATTGTTAAAATTGTTGCATTAATCACATAGATTGACGACATAATTCAACTACAGCTCTTCCTCTTAACGAAAGTTCCGATAATAAAGTCAAACTAAATTCAACCTCGCTTTTCAAACTATAACGTCAAATCTTCAGTATTAACTGTGTGCACATTACGAAAATTTGTGTGATTCCGTATATTACAAATTTAGCCATGAACTACCCAATAGAGTGAAAATTGATTTTTCACGTTGTCCAATAACAACTGTCTTTTCTGCAATGTTCTTATCAACAGACAGTGTTCCTTCTGCTGTCGCAAACGGATATCAAGGCTCAGAGTCCTCAGACTAAATGCAATGAAATCGCGGCATCGTACAACGCAAATTTCGGACGTTATTGCAAAAACTTGCAAACAATTAGCTGCGTTAATTATCTGCAATCGATGATGCCTGCGTTTAGAATATGCGGACTCTTCGGATAAATAAATCACATTTCATCAGTCCGAAATATGTTTCACCTAAGCATTATAAAATTACGACATAATAAAATTGCTTTGGACAACATTCGCTGTTTTCAAGTGTGTGCTTATTGATGAGCAAAATGTTGGACTATACCCAGAAACCTATCCGCAATACGATTAAATGCTCACGGAAGCGCGATAAAAAGGTTAAAAGCGAGGAAAAATACAGGTACAAATATGCAGTGCAATGTTTGGTTACCGGGGATTCCCTATTACATAGAAGCTACCAGTATGCAACCTCACTAGCAACATGCGTGCATACATGAATCTGACTGTGTTTATAATATTACTGAACTTTGTCTCTTTTACCACTTTAACAACTGATGCATGGAATTGATAACGTCCATCGTGTGCAAACTACGCTGAAACTATACAGATTTAACCGAACCGCTTCATTTTGATTTTGAGTAAGTTACGATATCCGCAAATGAGAGTTCCGCTGTGAGAAATAGGGTCAATCAGAAAATATGCGTAATTCAATATAAAATAAAGAGCTTTAGGTTACATGCCCGTACACGATCGGTAACTATGAGGTGCGTCACCCACAGGGAAGTCTTACATCGTGGTTTTTCGTTAGAAACACTCGTAGCAGGTAACGGATTATCTGCGAGGTCGTACTATAAACCTGAATGCACAAGTAAATGAATGGCTATTGTTAACTCAATTAAAAGCTCAATTCATCTATCAAACTACGGTTTTCTCCGTCGCATTTTTCCGCAGTAGTTGAATGTCTCCGCATCGCCAGCGGTTCGTGTATCTCACATGCGGAACGCGCGGTTAGTGAGCGCCCTGTATCCATCAACGTCAGCATGACTAACTTTCTGTTAAAGTGTTTATGAATCAAAAGGTGAACGCAGGCGAAATATGTGTAGTGCGAACTAGCGCACTTCAAACGCGAAATACAGAACCGACAAAAATATGGAGGTATCATAGTGCTTATGCAGGATAACGTTAAGCGCATTACCGTCGACTCCATGCCTCATACTTTCAAAATGCACAGCTATTTCGAATAGCTCACCAAATGTTTCTGCTGCCTTATGCCTTATTGTTCCTTACCTATGCAGCCCATCGCCGATGGAGGCTAACAAACTTTGAGTCATCTTCCTGCAGCATGCATCGCGTACAAAACTTAAAAATGGATCTCGCTCGCAAGCCCTTTTTGTGTCAAGTGACCCTACAACTCACCGGTTGTTCATAGCCAACGCCTCTCATGTGGAATTAAACGCTGTATTGTTGATACATACAGGCGATTCTCAGCTACCGTTGCAACTTTTCTCTAAGCGCCAGCAACCTCCACATCTCCTCACAACCCCTTTGCTCGAGCAATATTAATCCTCTAGCTAGCCGTTGGTTAATTTCGAAGTCTTCGCCATGTACACCGACTAAATACAGCTGACTTACTTGCTGGACTCGGCAACTGGCCGATGGTATCTTAGAGAACCATACCAGAGATAAAACGGTTTGCTTCACTACCAGTTACGACATTTCACGCGTGAGCGCAGCGCCATCACGGACGCACCTTCAAAGAGTTTATGTGGTCTATGCGAGTATGGCACGGCCATCGACATGGCAGCCATGGTTACCGAAAAACTCGATGACCTTGAAGTACATGTATTAATCCGGTTCTCTCCGCTGGACACCAGACCCGTTCTATTGAAAGCATCGGATAATACCATTATTTGCGACACATTGCTGGGTGCACCGTAACCAGTCATACCATAATTCCGACGGCGATTGTCAGATAGGCAGCAAACTTTGTTTCACCTATGCGTGTGCAGCGCTTACATTAATAGCCACACGTTGATCTTGATACAACGTTATTTACGATTTCGGAAACTGGGCAGCTGCCTGCCTTCCATGTGCAGGTACAAAAGTTGAAGCTCACGCGAAGCCCATTGGATATGTTGCCAACGCTAAATGCAGGCTTTTTTTGCAAGCCCATCAAATTCCTACCTTCTTGCAAGCTTCGAAATGATTGACACAACAACTGATTTACATCGCACGCTTCACCAGGCAGCCGGAATATCCTCCATTGCAAAATGCTTTTCAGGAATGGTAGCAAATGCAATTTTCAAATGCTGTGCTGCACCTTCATGACTACCAGGCAGCATTTACGTATCTCTTAAACATTTTGTTCGTTTGTCTCGTTCTCCTTAGCTTGTAAAACATTGCAAATGCAGATTCCGAAACCAGCGGCACTAGTCTACGGCTGCATAATTACTTTGACCGGGCAGCAGGTGGCACAGCACTATCCACTTCGTCCTTTGATAAGGAACCTATACTGGTTGCTTAACTTACCAGTTGCCTGAAACCTCTCCATGCGCTTATCGAAGGCAGTTAACACAGGTGTTATGCTTATAAAGTTGTCTAATTTTTCGCAGGTATTGCTTCATATTAACGAGGTTTGACAGCTTGCGCAATAGCGGTACCTCGGGCCGTAAGTGGGCAACATCTCAGTGAATTTGGCCTGCGAACCATCACTTACACAGTTAACACATACGAGTGGCCTGACTTCCATTGAGCATATAGGGTTCTGTGCACCGTGCATATATTTGTTAGCCCACATATTCAAACCCTGCCTCGAAAGAAATTCGCCATGCTTATTTATGTAATGCCACTTCCGCTGATTGAAAGTATGCTACATAGACGTGGCGCGCGTCTAAACACATACAATTATCGTCCTGTTAGTCACAAGTACCTCACTTCACCAGTGATAGTGATATTGCTACAGAATGGAATGATAGGCATTCCATTGTATATCACCATCAACAATTCATGTCAACATATCTTTTAAAAATAAAATTGCTATCATACAAAGTAGTGTAGGTTTCGTAATGCACTTGATGATTGTGATCGAGCAAGGACAGGTAATTTTCATCTACTTTTTGTTTGCCCACTCCAAAAATATTAGCATTTGGTCAAAAATGGATTGTCTGTTTAGGCGTAAGACACCCTCTTCCTAATACTTGAGATGTCGCCAAGATTCCCCTACGTTTTTTCCGGCTTTGTATTTCACGTTTAAATTGCGCTAGTTTGCACTACACATATTTCGCCTCAGTTGACCTTATGATTCATAAGCAATTTACCAAAAGGTTACTCATCTTGATGTGGAACGATACATTGCGCCGCCTAAACGCGCGTATCGAAATTTTGAAATACGAGGCGCTGGCGATTTGGCGGCAGTGAACTACTGCGGAAAAATTACGACGTAACTAACCGTAGTTTGATAGGTGATTGAGCTTTTAAGTGAGTTAACGATAGCTATACATTTACATGTGCATTCAGGTTCATAGAGCGACCACGCGGATAATCCGTTACCCGGTCAGTTGGTTTGTATCATTGGTTGCATCTGAAACAGTGGCCTGTTTGTTGACTTAAATAGGTAAATCACTGGATCTTAGCGACCTTGGTTCCTCAAGAATTCACTCTTGGCTATAGCATATGCTATAGGTAGCTTTTATCTTCTCATTTAAAAGATTGATGACTGCCATTAACACTCGTGCAATGAGGAAAAAGCGTGTGGAAAACCGAATAACCACGGTAAACAACGTTGCGGTCATGAGTGTCGAGGAACCTGTGTCCTGCTGCACACATTCCGAGCCTGGGACACAAGAGCAGGTAAATAAGTCCAAAGAGCAAATCACAGAAATTTCAGTTAGTGTTCTCGACCTTATATCTTCACTGTCAGCCAAAATAAATACGTTGGAAAAACAGTCAGAGGAACAAAAGGAGAAACTAAATTTGTTTGACTCATTCGGAGATCTCCTAATGTCAGTTTCATACCTAATTTAGTCTCCCGCTAATCCAGCGCAAAAGCACAAAATTGGAGCCTTAAACTTTCTAAATGCAATCGCCTCTGAGGTTACTCAAACATGCAGAAGGGGAAAAAACGTCATCGCCCTCAACATAGCTAACGATATCGCGATTGGCAACATTATGCGCTCTGTTTCCAGAGCGAGCAACATCGCTGAAACCGATATTAAATGTAGAAGACTGAGGAAAAAATCTTTAAGTTTTCCTTGTCCGACTCTGTTCAGCTTCCGCAGCGAAAGTCTCGCAAATTCGTATATCAAAAGTCAAAGTACTTTAAGATCTTTCCCGAAATTTTGCAAAGTTATTCCATTCGTAGACAGGTCACCTTTGCAACGTGAGCTTCAACGCATGAGTGAAACTAATGTCGCGCCTGAGCCGAAGCAGAGTCATCCTCCCTGCACGCTTCCTGGATTGCAAAGAAAGAGATCGTTCAACAGTGTTTGGTTCTCCCCTTCTAAAAAGGCAGATAATGTTAGCAAGGCCACTCTCCACACGAACGATGCTAAGGCTGGCGACAGCGTAGCGGAAATTGAGATGCACACGCCTCCACACCACATTAGCCTTGTGGACATAGGAAATAGTGTAGCTTCACTCGATGCACCACGTTCTGACAAAACCAGCAGAGATTGGGGTCAATCCCCACACCACTAATGAAACAGATACAAGTCCAAAAACATCAAACGGGGCTGTCGATAGCTCCAGTGAAGGTACGTTACGGCCCATTGTCATTATGATTACACATAGCAGCAGTGGTCATGGTTCGCGCCCTAAGCGTCTTAGATCAAACAGGGGCCTTCGTGCTGGAAAGGTGAATCCCCGTGTCCCAATGACAGTCGTGAATAATAATGCAGCTGCACAAAGTGGCAGGCCACAATTCCCCATTGTTCCGGCGATGTGCCAAGGCTGTTCTCCTGGCAGGCCTGTACATGGTTTTGCTGAATCACAGACCACTTATTTATGCCCCTATCCATACTCTCTTCCGCCTCCTTCTCTCACAATGCCTTCTGTGAGCCCTATGGCAATTACACCCTATCCAATTAAGCTCGATCGCCCTAAATTACCACAGTATTCTTTTTGTATTCCCCCACCCATTCTCCCACCCCCCTAATCCCA